GCTTGGCTGAATTTCCTAGTAAAGTTTTAACTTTGCCAATCCCAAGATCAGACGAAGTTGATTCTTAAGGCATAACTCATTTTCAGAGTGTTTCTTGGGTTCTGAAATTTCAGCGTGCCAACACTAAACCATCTCTTCAGAGAGAACCACTGGCTCTTGAGAATCACCAAGGCCTCACACAGCTGAGTCTGACAGATACGCGAGACACTGAAAGACTTAATTCTTTTTCTTTTTCAAAATATATTTAACTTCAGTAAACCTTAAGCCAAGTCTCTTGCAGATGGCAGACAGCTTAATTGCTGTGGTAAACTTGTCTGACGTGTTTGGGGAAACTTTGGGTGCTATAATTATCCATCGAACGCAGAGAAAAAAGATTTCAACCCACACAAAAGACATGCATATGGACTAGCCTCTCGACTTGGAGGCTGAAGTTTTATCCAAGGCTGTTCCTATTTCCCCTTCCCTTTTCAGGCTTTCTTGAATGGCTGGCAAGTGCAAAATGTATTATAGGAACAGTGTTAGAGACCTGGAAGCTTCCATCGTGGTCCAGTGGTTCAGAATCCAGCTTCAAAGCAAGGTACTCCAGTTCAATCCCTGGTTGGGGAACTTAGATCCCACCTGCCCTGAGGCAGCTAAGTCTTCGTTCTGAAACTAGGGAGAAGCCTGCGTGCCACAACTAAGACCTGATTCAGTCAATAAATAAATAAATTTTTTAATGGATTTCCTAAAAAAAAATATTGAGATAAAGAAGGCTGAGCACCAAAGAATTGATGCCTTCGAACTGTGGTGCTGTAGAAGACTCTTGAGAATCTCTTGGACTACAAGGAATCAAACCAGTCAATCCTGAAGGAAATCAACTCTGAATATTCAGTGAAAGGACTGATGCTCAATCTGAAGCGCCAGTCCTTTGGCCACTTGATGCAAAGAGCTGACTCATTGTAAGAGACCCTGATGCTGGGAAAGATTGAAGGCAGGAGGAGAAGGAGGAAGCAGAGGATGAGATGGGATGGCATCTTAAACTCAATGGACATGAGTTTGAGCAAACTCTGGGAGATAGTGAAGGACAGGGAAGCCTGGTGTGCTGCAGTCCATGGGGTCACAAAGAGTCAGACAAGACTGAGCTACTGAATCGCAACATGATAAGATAGCTTTGCTCTTTCTGCCCCCACTGTTTGTCTTCCTTGAATAGCCGAGATGGATAATATCAGGACAATATCAGTGGACAGTATTCATGTACTAGCTTCATTTATTTACTTATTTTTAAATTTCACAGGCACTCTGTGCCTCTGGGCTTCCCCGGTGGTTCAGCTGATAAAGAATCTGCCTGCAATGCGGGAGGCCTGGGTTTGATCCCTGGGTTAGGAAGATCCCTTGCAGAAAGGAACGGCTACCCATTCCAGTATTCTTGCCTGGAGAATTCCATGGACAGAGGAGCCTGGCCGACTACTGTCCATGGGGATGCAAAGAGTGGGACACGACTGAGCGACTCGCTTTCACTTTCCGTGCCTCTAGGCACGTTGTTGGTCCCTGGTAACACGAGCTGTAAACTGCAGGAGACATGACTTTTTCCTTGAGTGCCATCCGCTTGCCAGGTACCACCCAGGCTCTATTTTCGGCCTCTGTATCAATAATGGATATTTTCTAAAGCAATGACTTCTGAGTCCACATAGAATTTATAACTGGGGGATTGTAAGAGAAATATTCAGCTTGGATGCTGCAGTTCCTCACCACACCCGAGATTCCTGCCATCTTCATGGCAAAGGTAGAAGCAGAACCCACTGGAGAATGACTTGTTTTACATCAACAACCAAAGGCTGTGGAGTTTGGTTCCCTTTTTAAATAAGTTTATAAGCACTTGGGAACAGCCCTAGCATGAGTGGTCAATCCAGGTTTGCCCTCGGATTTGTTTGAACCATCTCCCCTTATGCGTGTCGCCGTGAGTGTTGATGAGAGTCTGGGCTTGCTCAGCCTCTCTCGGCCTCTAGGGGCCGAGGATCTGAGGGAAGCATGACGTCTCCCACGCCGCAGCACACTTCATCTTCCTCTTCCTCACCTCTCATTCTGGGTGGCTCTGTCAAAGCTGCCGTTTCACCAGATGGCCTTTGTTCCATTAAATACTTTCAGGTGTATTTATCTCACAGGCGCAGTCTCAGCTTAGACAATTTCTTCCCACAACATACATCGGGGGTTGCTGGTGATCTGCTTGCCTTCCTTTTCCTTTCTCCAGGAACACTGAAGATGTTAACTCCCTTTGCAGGGTAAAAAAAAAAAAAAAAAAGGGAGAAAAAACTTTCCCTGTATGAGCAGGAAAGGCTGTGTTGTCACTAGGAAGCTTTGGGCTGTGAGCCCTGGAGAATCCTAGTGAAAAGATGGCTTAAACATGAAAACAACTGTGTTGTAAAGCCCGGAGGCAGCACTTCTGGAGTTGAGTGGCTCAGGGACGTCATCAATGACCAGCATCCCTTCCCTCTTTGGACTGACGCGTCTTAGCTTTGTCCTCCTCTGGTCAAAAGATGGCGCTGCTGCTCCAGCCATCACGTCGACACTCGGCCTGATTTAGAGGCAGACACGTGTGTCTCTTCCTAGGACCTTAACGAGGAGGAAAAGTTTTCTGAATACCTCGGCTGCTCCCCAGGTTCCTTCCCGCTAACCCGCAGGGTCAGCCAATCCTTGACCCCTCACCCGGGCGCTTGGTCCTCTGGATGCTGTTCGGGGACCGGTGCGGGGATGGGGTGGCAGGGGGGAACATTGCTCAGTCTCATCTAGGTTCTGATTTGAGCTGAGGGTTGGCGTTCCCCACAGGGGCTTGAAGACATCCTTCCTCTGTGCCTTGGGTATTCTAAGCCTTCCAGATATCTTTCTGGACTTTTCTAAAGGCTCTGATTCCCAACCATCAAGGTCAGATTTTCAGTCCCAAGGGGTCAGATTTTTCACTTCCTCCTGCTCTTTTTCCTCCTGTCCCCGACCTCCTGATTACATGAGGCAGGAGCTGAGTTTCTGAAATTATCTTTTTTTTTAAAATTTATTTATTTTCAGCCGCACCTTGGCGGCTTTCAAGATCTTAGTTCCTTCGCTAGGGGTTGAACCTGGGCTCACCGCAGCGAAAGCCCTGAGTCTCAACCTCTGGACCACCAGGGAGTTCCCTGAACGACACTTTCAACTTCATGATCTCTTCCCCGTGGCGTGGTCACAACAAGAGAAGCGTCTTGATGATCTGAACTTAGAAAATCCTCCTTCTCAGTGAGAGCGGGCTTCCCAGGGGACGCTGAAACGCAGACAGGTAAGCCATTTGACACTCAATTTGTGTGAAGCGCGTAGATGATTCCTTGGCAGGTAGGAAGCCCTCAGTAGGAAGCACTTGCTGGCGTTATGATTTTTAATGAGTGACGATAACTGAGCTTCATTCAGGTCACCATCTGTCCTGTCCCCAGGTCCAGACGAGAAGCGCCCACCTTGGTTTCCCCATGGGGCCAGATACTGCTCCATGTGCCAGGGACCCTGGAATTCCCACCCCTGGGATCCCAAGTCTGCTTCTCCCCGAGGTCTGTCTACCACACCCTCCAAGGGTGAACAGGTGGGAGGGTGTTGCCCCCCTTAGGCCCAGGGAGGAGGCTGTGGAATGGCTGTTTCTGAGACAAATGAGGGACAACCACAGTGGCCCGTGAGATTTCTTAGGAGCAGACGGAGCTGGTTGGGGGATGAGAGGAGGGGAGAATGAGGGGGTCGCCTTGAGGGGTGGGCAGGGTCCAGCTCCTCCCCGCCCCACTACGGGATTCCAGAACTTCAGGACAGGGAGCCCTGCAGACTCAAGTGCAGCCTTCCAGGTTTGTTATAAGGTCTGTCTGGGCTTCCCAGGTGGCGCTCCTGGTAAAGAGCCCGCAGGAGACCTAAAGAGATGTGGGTTTGATCCCTGGCTTGGGAAGATCCCCTGGAGGAGGGCATGGCAACCCACTCCAGTCTTCTTGCCTGGAGAATCCCGTGGACAGAGGAGCCTGGCGGGCCACAGTCCTTAGGGTCACAAAGAGTCGGACATGACTGAAGTGACTTATCACAGCATGTAAGGTCTGCCTATCAAGTTTTGTTGTTGTTCAGTCGCCAAGTTGTGTCCGAATCTTCGTGACCCCGTGGACTGCAGCTGGCTAGGCTTCCTCCTACACTGTCTCCCAGAAGATTGACACCTTCCCTGTCCATCACCACCCCTTTTGGGGATCACAGCCTTGTCGCGGCGAAGGGGCTTGCGTAACTCAATGAAGCGATGAGCCATGCTGTGCAGGGCCACCCCAGACAGACGGGTCACGGTGGAGAGTTCTGGCTAAACGTGGTCCACTGGAGGAGGGAATGGCAACCCACCCCAGTATACCCACTGTGGGAACTCCATGAACTCTATAAACGGGCAAAAAGGTGGAAGCTAGAACTCAAGTGAACCCTTTTTCCACTTGATTTATTGCTTTAACTATTTAGTTGTGTGGTTTGTAGGCCTCCATTTGTATTCTTACCCTGGGCCCCCCATCCCCACCCTCCCCACCCCCATCCCCACTGGGAATGGCATTCCTGAGTTGCCCTTATGGTGTTTCCCCATCGACGGGGAGATTGTAATATTTGTTATCTCAGTCGCTCCAGTTAACTTTCAAAGCAAGCGCAGACTGGGGTATTACCGTGATCCCATTTGACAGCATCGAGCACTCTGAAGCTAATACAGCATGTAACTCCATGGGTGTCGTTTAAATTTTCTTTCCTGGAAGAAAAATGATCCAGGCGCTGCGCACACGGGGCCGATGTCCGCCCGGTGCTGGGAGCCCTTGCCCGCGGCAGACCCGAGTCCTGAGGAACACAGCCCCCTTGGTACCCTCATGGATCCAGTCTGCTGCTGCTGCTGCTAAGTCGCTTCAGTCGTGTCCAACTCTGTGCGACCCCATAGACAGCAGCCCACCAGGCTCCCCCATCACTGGGATTCTCCGGGCAAGAACACTGGAGTGGGTTGCCATTTCCTTCTCCAATGCATGAAAGTGAAAAGTGAAAGTGAAGTCGCTCAGTGTCTGACTCTTGGCGACCCCATGGACTGCAGCCCACCAGGCTCCTCCGTCCATGGGGTTTTCCAGGCAAGAGTACTGGAGTGGGTGCCACTGCCTTCTCCAATGGATCCACTCTGGCCTCTTCTGTTCTCCACTGCCACCTGGCTGCCCCAGGAAATGCCACCTCCTAACAAATACTGGATGCTTGGCAAGCAAATCAAGGTAGGGATGCTTGTGTTCAGGGCTGGGCCAGGTTCGGCCACAGATGGAAAGCCATATGACACGGCTCCTGCTCCAAGAGTGGTGAGTAGAGATGAGGAAGAAATGCAGAACAAGAGAGCACGTGCTTTTAAAAAGTTTACTTCTCAACAATTTTATTAAAACAAATTGAGTAGGTACCCTGGGTGTTCATTGGAAGGACTGATGCTGAAGCTGAAACTCCAATACTTTGGCCACCTGATTCAAAGAGCTGACTCATTGGAAATGACCCTGATGCTGGGAAAGATTGAGGGCAGGAGGAGAAGGGGATGACAGAGGATGAGATGGTTGGATGGCATACAACCATGGTTGGATGACCGAGCAACTAAACAAGCACAGCACAGCACAGGTATTATTATGGTTATTTAGTTGCTCAGTCGTGTCTGACTCTTTTGCAAGCCCCATGGACTGTAGCCCATCAGGTTCCTCTGTCCATGGGACTTCCCAGGCAAGAACACTGGAGTGGGTTGCCATTTCCCTCTCCAGGGGACCTTCCCGACCCAGGGATCAAACCTGTGTCTCCTGCATTGGCAGGCAGATTCTTTACCACTAAGCCACCAGGGAAGCCTTCACATAAATATATATATGTATATTTCACATATGTATAAATCAATACATCTGTGTGTACATTACTTATATACATATATAATAAACACACACACATTTCTTCTCCCTTTTTCATATTGTGTAATTGAAAATAGACTGTTTTTAAAAACTGAGGTCTCATCATTATAGTTCCAGTTAGCGTAATAAAGGCTCTGAGAAGTCCTGCAGAGAAATAACCTGTGTAAGCGACATTTTCCTGCTGTTCAGTTAGTGCACCATTTCCCGCACTTGGTCATTAGGATCCTCCTCCTCCGTCACCACACAATATGTATCAACTCCTTGTAGAACTGGTATTCTGAAGAACCCAGATTGTGAAATGTTGGCCCTGAGGTCCTGAAGCTTTTCACAGCACAGTTTGGAAACGGTGGGAAGAGTCCAAGGAGGATTTTCAGAAAAGTTGGAATTTAAATCTGAACAACTCTTTCCTTTTCTTTTAAATAGGTAAGAAGTGGATTTATTTAGAAAGATACACATTCCACAGACACAATGAGGTCCGTCCAGAAAGGTGAGAGACTCTGGGAGAAGCACACTCCAGAGACAGGGGCTGGGCCATCTCCCACAGCTTTTTCGAGCTCACCTTCAGACGGAGAGATTCTCCGAGGGAAAGCACGTGTCCACCGTGCACTGCAGACTCTTCTTCACCCCCTACCCACCACCTTCCCACCCGCCCCAGCCTGGGCCCCCCCACCTCGGTCAATAGCAACTGTATTTATCCAGCTGCTAGAACCGAAAACTGGATTTGTTCATGACCCCTCTCTTTTCTGTACATTCAGCGTACAATTCATCAGCAAGACTTTTCAATTCTGCCTTCAAAACACATGAGGAATCCAGCCGCTTCTCACCAACTTCGCCCTCACGCACATGACCTGTAATAGTTAACACCCCATCCCTCAAATACTCCTAGACCAGTGATCCCCAGAGTGGGGAGGAGAGGAAGCCATTAAATCTTTTATCTTTATTTTCTCATTTCCTATCCTTCTATTTAAAAATGTACACAGTGTTCATTTTCTAATTTACATAATGTATGACTAAAGCAGAGCATGCTGATAATTCATAAACTGTGGGTGTGTATGGAGGGAGGAGTGGAGAATCTGGGTTATTTTTGCATGCAATCTATCACACACATGAAATAAAATCCAACCCTCCTCTTGAGAACAGCTAGAAATGAAGACAACAGGACAAATATTTGAAGGCCTTCGAGAGTTAACAGAGCAGTGAAAAATTTTAGGACCAAGATCTGGGAGAGGAATAAAATACAGAAATGAGAGCCAGCATTTGTGACCCCTTTTCCCCAGGTGTCCTTTTTTTTTACCCCAGAAGAAGAAAGAAGTCAAGAGAATAAGAAGCTGACAGAGCTGTGGATAGACAGTGTGGATAGAAGGACGTGGGTATTTGGGGCTCGTGAGGAGCTGAAAGCTTTGGACACCAGAGCATTTGGTCTGGAAAAACCACACAGAACTCCTGTCTAGGGGTAAGGGGTGAAAGATTCACTTCAGTAACTGAAGTCCAGCTTTGAATTGTTACAATTCCAGTTTGGATCAAGGAGCTAATACACACAGCTGCCTCCTGTAAGTAGATGCAATTTCTCTCTTGACCAAGAAAACATCCTCCGAGATCTCTATGTTTTTGACACACTGCGTCTGGCATCAAATCAAAACAACCTGTGAACAAGGAGACAAAACAATGGTACTAAAAAAAAAAACAGCGAGAAAGAGAATTGAGAAGTAAAGGAAACATACCTACCGGAAATCCAAAATAGTGGGCTTGGAAAAAACTATGCTTGATATCTTCAAGGAAATGAATACGAAATAAGAATTTTGGTGGAGAAATAGAAACTATAAGGGAGAATCGAAAGAAAATCTTGCAAATGGAAAATCCAAGTTTTCTTTCTTTTTTAAGATTTTTGGCTGCACCAGGAGGCATATGTAATCTCAGTTCCCTAAGCAGTGACCAAACCCTTCAGTAGAAGCACAGAGCCTGACCACTAGACCACCAGGGAAGTTTCAAGACCCTAGGTTTCCATTCACAGGTTTGACACAGCGGAGGAGAAAATTAATGAACTGGAACAAGAAAAAACAGGTAGAAGGAAGAGCAAAGGGAAGAAAGTAGAAAAGAGTCAGAGACATAAGGATGCAGAGAAAGGTCAAACATGCTTGGATCTGAAGTCCCAGCAGGAGAGAGGGGAGAAAATGAGGCAGAATAACATTTGAAGAGATAACGGCAGGAAGAAGTTCCAAAATAGCTATCAGATCACATGTTCCACAAGGACTCTGAGCCCTAAGCAAGATAAAGATGAAGACAACCACATCTCAGTGCATCAGAGTGAAAGTGTTGGCCATCAAAGACAAAGGGAAACCTCAGAAGAATCAAACCCACATTTCCTACAACGGCCAACACATGTTATATGACCCGGTCCATCTGTTCAGTTTCATCTCTTAACACTCGCACCTTGCTTGCACCACAGAACTGAGGATTGCAAACTGGTGTTGGAGAAAACGCTCGAAAGGCCCTTGGACTGCAAGGAGATCCGACCAGTCCATCCTAAAGGAAATCAGTCCTCAATGCTCATTGGAAGGACTGATGCTGAAGCGGAAGCTCCAATACTTTGCCCACCTGATGTGAAAAGCTGACTCACTGGAAAAGCCCCGGATGCTGGGAAAGATTGAGAGCAAGAGGAGAGGGGAGTGACAGAGGATGAGATGGTTGGATGGCATCACTGCCACGATGGACATGGGTTTGAGCAAGCTCCAGGAGATGGTGAAGGACAGGGAAGCCTGGTGGGGTGCAGTCTGTGGGGTCGCAAAGAGCTGGACACAACTTAGTGACTGAACAACAGCAAGCGTTTTTTTGGTGTGTGTTTCACATTTGATTATCATGACACCAATTTGTTACAATAAAAATAAGTAAATCAAATCAAGGTCAGTAACTTCTTCATGTGTGGCTGATTATACATGTTGCAACTCACTGGTTCCTTTATTTTTTTTAATTGAAGGAAAATTGCTTTATAGTGTTGCAGGGATGCAAAGGAGACACAGATGTGGAGCATAGACTTGTGGACACAGTGGGGGAAGGAGAAGTGGGATAAATGGAGACAGTAGCGTTGACATGCATACACTATTACGTGTAAAATAGATGGCTGGTGGGAAGCTGCTATATAATACAGGGAGCCCAGCCTGACGCTCTGTGAAGATCTGTGAGGGGTGGGAGGGGAGGGTGGCTCAACAGGGAGGGGAGATATGTATAATTATGACTGATTTGTGTTGTTGTAGAGCAGAAACCAACACGCTAGCCTTTTGTCCCCCAGTTTCATTGAGTTATAGTTGACATGCAGCATTGTATTCGTCCAAGGCATACAGCATAATGATGTGATGTATGTATATATTGCTAAATAATCACCACAATAAGTTTAGTTAACATTCACCACCTCGTATGGTTACACATTTCTTCCTCTTGTGATGATAACTTTTAAGATTTCTTCTCTTAGAAACTTTCAAATATATAATGCAGTATTGGTTAACTACAGTCACCTTGCTGTATGTTACATCCCACAACTTATTCGTCTTACAACTGGAAATGTGTACCCTTTGACCCTCTTCGCCCATTTCACCCACCCTGTACCTCTGGCCACCACAGACCTGTTTGCTATATCCATGAGATTTTTTTTTTTAAGATTCTGCATATAAATGAATTCATACAGTATTTGTCTCTCTGGTTTATTTCATTTAGCATAATGTCCTCAAGGCCCACCCATCCATGATGCTACAAAGGGCAAGATTTCCTTCTTTTTATGGCTGAATAACATTCTTGTGTGTGTGTGTATCTATGTATCTCACATATTCTTTTTTAAAAAAAATCTTATTTTGTTTTGGGGGTATAGTCAATTAACAAACAATATTGTCATACTTTCAGGTGAATAGCGAAGGGACTCAAGTCATACACATTCATGTACCCATTCTCTCCCAAACTCCCCTCCCATCCAGGCTGCCACATAACATTGAGCAGAATTCCATGTATTCGTTTATTCACCAAGGGATGCTCAGGTTGTATCCATCTCTTGGCTAGTATAAATGATGCTGCACTGAACACAGGATGCTGATATCTTTTTGAGGCAGTGATTTGGTTTCCCTCTAGTTAAATACCCAAAAGTGGGATAGCCAGATCATATGATCACTGTACTTTTAATTTTTTGAGAAACTGCCATGTTGTTTTCCACTGTGGTTGGACCAATTCAGAGTCCCACCAACAGCCACAAGGGTTCCCTCTTCCCCACATGCTCACTAGTATCTGTCTTCCCTTGTCTCATTGATGACTGCCATCCTAGCAGGTGTGAGGTCACTCCAGCCTTCTGGACTGGCTGGTCCCTGACTTGGGAACAAGCTTATTCCCAAGTCAGAACTTCTGTTCCCTCTGCATAGCAAGTTCTTGGATATTTGTTTTGGCTTCTTCCCCCTCATCACTCAGGTCTTGGCTCAAATATCACCTCCTAAAAATCCCTTGGCTCCTGGCCCATAGTTCTC